CTGCCACTGCAGACAGTAACGTCCCCTGACTTCTACCATTGCTCCCGCTGGACATGAAGTCGACTGCTGGAAGGTTTTGTCACTTAAATTTAATCACATGTTGTTTTCAGAGATATTCTGAAAACAACAGATGCTGATGTGAATCTATAGGTAAAGTAGCTTCTAATCATGCCAAGTTTACAGTATGACAGGCAAAGATTCAATAATGAAAAGCAAAGATACATGACAAATTCATGACATGACCAAACATGAGAGGAAAATAGAACAAATAAGAGGATATTACAGAAACAAAAAGATGAAAAAAAGATACATCTTTGTTAAATATAAGAGAATATAAGCAAATAAGATCAAATAAAAACAATGAGGAACATTAATTGTAGTTTTGTATAATTTCATTTAAAGTACAGCTTTTCACATCGTATTAGTTTATTTACTGTCTAATAAATACATATTATTTTGTCTAAATAATATACGGCCTGTTACGCCTTGGCAATCATACTGTCTTGTGTTGGTTTTACTGTTGAAGAGTCTGAACTGAAGAGAGATTTTGCTTGTGACACAGCAGCAGAAAGACAAAAACCTTCCCCCTGACAAGTTGGGAAGCTTTGGCTGTTAAAGCAGCAGTGTCTGAGCATAGCCTGCGTGTGGGCAGTGGAGAGGGACGGGTTGTTCTCTGCATCACTGAACATTTAACAAGTAGTTGTTGCAGACACAGAGAGTATGTAATTAATGTTATTTCGAGGAGTGGACCCAGTAGGAGCAGAGCTCACTGACACTGCTCCGTTGTCCTTTTTCTTTTCTTCAGCTTCTCCATCTGCCTCCTCGTCCTCCTTAATCATCCTGTCTTTGCATCCTTTTTTGCTACCTCTCCTCTATTTGCTGTTTATAATACATTTTCTTTGTCTCCATTAGACTGTCTCCTTTTCTTTCCGCTCTTTGACTTTTTCCTCTCTCCTCCATTTGACGCGTATTGTTTCTTCATCTTCTTGACCTCGCCTTCCGTTTGAGCCTCTTCTGTTCTCTTCTTCCCTTTTATCTCCCTCTTCTCGTCTTTCGTCTTTTCTCTCCCCGTGTAATTACAGGAGCATTACACTGACCATTTGGAGGACAACGTGCTATTTTCCATCTCCAGCTGAACATTACTCCAAATAGATTTTTTCTCACGAACACCCAGGTCCTACACTTATGTGAGTTCTTATTTCGACACACATTAATGTGCATTCTCCTGTTCTAATACACATTGGAACAGAAGGTAGCCTTTAATTTATGTTTTTATTAACATATTACACATTTGGCTATTCAGCATAATCTTAAAACTAATCAAAATCTGAAAACTATGCTCTTGTAATTAATAACATTCAATATATATATATTGAATGTTATTAATTACAATTGGACAATTCAGCTGTTCAGCAGGTGCGATTGTATAATAATTTTATAATCTTGATGACAAATTCATCTTTAAAGAGGAAATATTTTCCTGAATTAACATTTATATAAAAACTGCTAATAACTGTATAAAATTTAGGTGAAAGGGATCTATTGGCAAAAATTATGTCTAAAATAATCCTAGGGATGTTTTCCCTAGTGTGTTTTATCTAAATTGTATGAAATTGTTGTTTTCTTTACCCTAGAATTGGCCCTTTATATTTAAATCCTTTATATTTCGATCAGGAGTGGGTCCTCTCTACTAATTTAATTATTTGTTTGGATCATTCTTTACATTTAATATGATTTTCAACTGCTCCTCTGAAGCATCACTCTGTAGAACAAATGTAAAACTATACCATCATCAAATGCCATTTCAATGCACTTTGTTTTCCAGGCTCTGTGTAAAAGGTACATTAGCTCCCTCCTATGTTTGTTTCACAAACTGCACAGTTTACACATAATCACAACACAGAGAAAACATGAAATTGATCTTTTGTTATTTTAGTTAAATTATGAAAAACTGGTTGGAAACAAACAAATTTGGATCTAATTCCCTCACTGCCCCGCTCCATGCTCATTTTCTATAATTACAACTAGGCTGCAAAAACAGAGCATTTCCTGCGGACACAAGAAAAATTACTTTGTGCAACTTTGTGTGGATCTGTAATGTAAATTAATCCAACGGCAGAAAACAACAGGCCTAGTGGAACAGCACTAAGCCTCTATGTTAATATATTTCATGCCTGCAGTGTATGTCAGAGTAGGTGTAGGCGTGTAACTTGAGTGGAGGGCCTCGCTGCAGGTTGACATCTCGGCTGAAACACTGAATACGGCTGATGGGAAGTGGTTCTAACCACAGAGACAATAAATAAGAATGTCAAGCCCCACACAAAAGCCAATGGCCTCAGGGAAAAAAAAGTGACACTGACACTGAGGTCTAACAATGTCCGTGAACAGGTTTCATCTCCTTCCAACGGGCGTGTCATGGTGTTACTACTCCTTCACACTTAGAAAACACACAGCAAATGTCAAGGTGCAAACTAAACTACACACCTATACATGCCAGCATTAATAATTATTGACTGCATATGATTTACTGCTAAGTGACAAAGAAATAAAGACTTTTTGCATCATTTTTAGCTTTTCATTAGACTTATTGTGGATTTCATTGGTGCATGTCCGTGTCTTCATGATGACTTTTTCCAAGCACTCATATTTAAGTTTCTGGTTGCAGTTAACCCTTAAATCACTTGTTACACTATCTATGTGACTCTTATTGTGTGACCTATAAAAAACCACAGGGTGCACCAGTGATGACCTATATGCCAAAAACCTGTGAACCATAAACCTCACATTTGTGATGTTGATCTGGAAGGAGTGTTATGTTATATGTTATCATTATTATACGAGTTGGCTGACAAAGTGATTATTATTTATGACATACAGAGGCACAAACACAAAGTGAAACATTGTGAAAGAGAGGGGGAAGGGTTTTCTATGTGGCAGGAAGTCACTGCTGCTTTATTACTCATTTAGAGATGCTGTCTGTAGCCAAGAGCAACTGGTAACACCAAATGAAAATGAGCCAGTTTTTGCTGGCAATGAATCACAGAAGCATCTTAGCAACTGCTTGACAAGGTTTAACAGGGATCTGATGTAAACTTTTTTGATTGTCCTACCTGAGCGGGCTCCCCGGAGCCTGGTCAACACCCTGGAGCGAAACCCAGAGGTGTCACTGAGAGAGCGGAGCCTGGGGAGAGGCCACAGCAGAGGAAAGTGCTTCATCTCTGGGTGAGTGTCCTCCTCCTCTCCCATCATGGTCGCCTCCTTCTGTCCTGTACCACAACACCAACCAGAGGGATCGCAGAAACTCACACAAGACTTATCATCACCATCTTCCTCATCATCATCAATGGGAAGCAGCAGCTTCTCTTCTTCTGTTCTAACCTTTCCTCTGCTAAAGTCAGAATGTGTGTGTGTGTGTGTG